CAACACGTAGTTATGACAGGCGTCACTTTCCGGCGTATGCCAGAGAAATCCACGAATTGGATGATCGCGAACAGTGCCTTATTGCACGAACCTTGGGTATGACTGCATTTCAACTTTGTAATGGGACTTGTGCAGGATGGGCATGGCGATTTGAAGACGGGAAAACACCCAACTAGCGAAAGCCTTGCTACCGAAGAATATTTCCCCGTCATCTCGACATCCTTGAGCGACGCCATGGCAAGTCTATCCGAGTCACGTCTGCCGAAAGATGAGATAGTTGCGCTCTCAGACTGTGACACTTTTCAATCCTCGGGTAGGCCCCCATGTCGACGAGGATGTTTAGGCAAGCAAAAACAACTCTACAAAGGAAAGCATTCGTCTTAACAAGAATCGCAGAACAATCTGTGCTGGTCACAGCGAGGACCAAATCCTCTCCTGATCCGGACAGGATGATTGACCATGAAGTAACAATCCCCGTCACGCCTGCTGCAGCATCTAGTGAAAGCCTGCGGCATATGGAGTACTACCCATTGGGAGCTTTAATAAAGACTAGAACTTGAATAGGGTCCTGACTGAAATGGGTATGAGTGTAAGGCGATAGGATAACGCTGGCACGGGCGAGTTCACTGAAAGAATCTGTTGCAAGCTGCCCTGCTCGAGAGAGCGAGGGGGCTCTCTGCTTATGTACCCATCTCTAGGAAGATAAACCCTTAGAAGCCAGATATACGACGTCTTTTGGCTCTAGTGAACCTACCAAGGGTGTCCCGATGTACCCTTCAGCTCGTTATCGAGAGTGGGCGGTTCGTGAAGGCAGCTGATGGACAACCATGTGGAGCTCATGCGAAACCTTGATCTTTGTCATCGTTTCATTTGAGGTTTGTGGAGAGAATGCGAGATGTAGTTCTTGGATCTTTTGTAAATATCTCGTTGTTAACTAAATCATTTCCGTCTCGGCGGCGTGTCGTTGAGCTCGACATACCTAACCAATGGAGACTTGACGTGCCCGGCCAAATATCAGGATCATAGCCTTTCCCACGTGTACTTAACAACATATCGAATTATTTGGTTGCATGCAAAAACGCCTCGGTTTCTAATTGAGCATTCAAGGGGAACCCATTCAGAACAGTTGCGTTAGGCAGCTCCCAATAAGGCCAATGGAACTTAGGTAAATCCTATGTGGGCGGAATACATACAGGATCTGAACTTCGTGAGAATCAAGCTTTTTGCCAAATGCTACTCTGGGAGTAGAACAAACAAGGTACTATAGACAAGAAGGCGGGATAACTCATTCCGCTTCGTCTTCAACTCTACGAATCCATAATCTCAAGGCGTGATCGTTGCACCTTCCGTTTTCTCATGAATTGAAGCTTAAAAGGGTATTAGGTCGGCGAAAAGCTTTTAGAGTTTCTGTGTCGCTTCCCCGCGATAGAGAAACCGAAGAGCCTAGAATCAGTTCACGACGTGGCGCAATGCGTCTTTTGAGTGTCTGTGACTGCCGTTAGTGCCGTTTGACCGGAGAATCCGGGCCTGCTAATCACCAATCGTTCCCCCTCAGGTTACAGAGTAAGTGCGGTCTAGCACCAAATCTTAATTTTCTGGCAAACCCATCTTCATGTACGGTAAGCCGTAAGGTAAGCTGATGCTTTGGAGAATGATGAGCAATTGTGGAGCAAGGGGGTCCGGGGCTTTCAAGGTTGGTCAAGGTTGTGAGGGTTGTTTGCCAAGGGGCTCGAAGTCCAAGATTCGGCCGGTCAAGCAAACATCCGCGCGCGCAAGATGAACAGCCTCAAGGCTCAACCGGCACGAGACTGTGTGACATCGCAGCATCCCAACAGCCAACGGACACATTTTAAGACATATCATTCGTCATTTATCTCAAATCCTCATAAATTACCAGATTCCCGGGGCAAACAATCCAATGTTCAGATGGCAGATCGTCACCAACCATGTCTAGGTTCTTCCTTCGCAGCGAGACTCTTTGCGGCTAGCCCGGTGCCACCAGAACCTTAAACGCTTAATTGAACCAGGGTCTAACAAGCCACAGTAAACCGAGACCGACATTTTGGGTTTTTGAGGCCGGCGTGCGGGTAGTCGCTCCGCTGTCAGAAATGCCAATTAAGCTCGCTGGTAGGTTGAGAACAAGGGGGTTGGCCAGGGCCCACTTCCATGGGAAACCGAGACCGACGGGCTGATTTGCACTGCCATTTTCCCTCGAGATAGTGACATGACGTTCCGACCACAGCCATTCTAACTGACGCTGGGCGTTTTCTTCGCTATGCTAGCTTTTCCAAACCAATTGCGGATGATGCGGTTCATCATTACACTGGCCTTGGAAAGGCCGTACGCGTATAGAGTAAACTTTTGTGGGCGTGGATAATTCATATAGAAACCTGCATGCCTCCCTCATCCCCTTTGCGTCTTGGATATCATACCATCGCAGCATCAAGCTATTCTCAACACCGAAAAGCCTCAGTACTTCGAACCCCTTCTCACCATCAACGAGCGCATCATCACACATCGCCCGCTAAGTAGCACCAATCACCGAAGCAAAGATGGACAAACTCGCCAGTATGCCTCTGTTCGACAATCGGCACATGATGAAGGTCCACATTGTGCAAATCATTGTGATTCACATCGTCATGGGTCTCTCCGGTGCCAGAATATTCCTCAAGGGCGGCCCAGTGACCCGTACAAACACCATGTCTCTAGGTATAGTAAGTACAAACTTTCCCAAATGTTCTCTCCGCAGTCGTCAAGGACATCAGGACGACTCAGACCAATTCTGGCGAAGTTCTCCGATGACGGGAACTGAGGAATGGAGTTTGCTAACGTCAGTAATCACACAGTCTGTAAAATCCATGGTCTTCATCATCTACCAAATCGCAACTCAGCACTGGGCCCGAGGCCGGGGCTGGGCGTCCCTGAAAGCCAACGCCATTCTCAACGGCCTCGAGCCCGTCTTCTGGGGCGCTGTAGTCTTCATGTCCATCCAGGGTAACATCCAGCGCTGCGTCGGCACGAGCTGCATCCTCAGCTGGGTTATTGTCGGATGCGGTATCTTCCTCAAGTAAGTCGTCCATTGGCATGCGAGTTGCCCACCTCAAGACATGGGAACTGACTGGGATTTCGTTTCATAGCCTTCTCGCCGCATACACCGCCGTCGTATCCTTTGTCGATTTCAAATACTTCCGCCGCACTGGCACGACCCGCGGCGTCTCAGTCGACCGCAAGGCACCGATGCACACCGAGGAGATCACTTCGACTGGTTCTGTTGAGGACCAGGAGATGGCGCAGCCGAGAAGAAAGGCAGAGAGGATGTAAAGAAAGAAGCATCAGCTTCTCCATCCAGGAAACCGAATTTGAACGAGAACGTTCTTGCGCCAACACTATAATGAGCAACGTAGCCGGTCTTGAAGGGATTAAACTTGGGCTGGTGAGGGATTGGTACATAATATCCCAAGGGATTTTGCGTCAAGGGCGGCTGAGGGCACCATGGCGAGAAACTAGAGAGGATTCCAGTTGATGATGCACTGTATTTGGGTGGCGTATTTGGAAAGGAGAGGAATATCAAGGAGACGAATTCAAGGGAAATACCTACTTTAGTAATGATAGACAAGCACACTTCAGTCTAAACTGTTTCCTGAGATCTCGCAAGTCGACAACTAACTTATGAGCCCTGATAACAATGACAGAATCCACAGACAGCTTTGCTCTGTTGAGTCCTCAAGATTCCTCCCAGTCAAACAAATCCTGGAGAGTCACTTCACACTTCAAGAGACGGAGACTCGAAAGCATCTGCAAAACGACAATAAACACGACTCCCACAACAAAGATGAACCTTCAATTTCCTTCACGCAATAAGATGTCAAGCCAAAAGCAACACCGCATCTTTCCAAATCCGCATAAGCCACCAAGTGCTCCCTGGCGGCCCCCACGCGAAGATCAGACGACGGACGCCCCCAATCCTCCGCTCGCACCAATACTCCAGACGATCAAACCAACAAACTTAGCCAATCGCAACACACCAACCACCTCAAACATCAGACGATTCCAACCTCGACTCTGTCCGAACATCAGACGGAGCGTGCTTCAGCCTGACAGCCCGATCTTAATCTGTCCCGTCACCATTCTAGAACCACGTACCAAAGTTCTAGGTAGACAGTCCAAAAAGACATCATCACACCATGCTGATTGATTACCAGACTGTCAAATACCCACAATGATGCAACATACTCATAGCCATGACTCCGTGGATCACAATCTCAAAGCTCCCCTGGTCCATGAAGCCTCCTTTCCGTAGGGCGACAAGGCATCGCAACTCTCTGTATGTTCCTCAAGCCGTCTTCTCTCCCCATCAGCCAATACAAAGCCCACCTCGCACAAATCTCCACCCTGAAACTGAGAGACCCTCCATCCCTCCCCGATCCCATCCCATCCACGCATAACGCCTCTGGCCCTCATCTCCCTCGACCAGGACCACGCTACATCCTCGTGCTTCAAATACAAGACAAAAGAAACAAGCAAACCGCGACACCCTTGAGTTTCTCGTGCTTTCCAATCAGCACATGCATTCAGGTTTTGGCATGGACTCATAGAAAGCAATAATGAATGTGGTCCTTCCATTACTCGAGTCCCCCCCCCCCCTTTGCCAAGTCGACTGGTAGACTATATAGAATCATCTTGTATGCTTCACAAGGTTCGCCAGCTTCCCAGTTTCTTTCCTCTCTTCGTCCCGCATCTTCACTCTCAACTTCCCTCGTCTCTCATCATTTACCCCCCGCCGCCGAATCTGGTGGTATCTCCAACAAAAGAAAGTCGTGGGACAATTTCGTTCCGTTTGTAGGTACCCGCAGACATCCGGGTCTGTCCTGGGCACCCTACTGAGTCCGACTCAGCCAGACACAACATTTGATATCTCACTCACTCCCTTCATCCGTCTTTGACTCGTTATTCCATCATTCCCAGTCATTACTCAAAAACATCACACATCCACACGCTCCTCAATCCGTATCAAAGAAGCTCCCAGTCCTCTTCAACATACTCAAATCAACCAGACCCATGACGTGCCCGTCCATTCTCCTCACCTGCTCGTCGTACAACCACCACGCGCAACAGACCGCGACCGCGACCAAGATCTGGGCGACGCCGAGGCCGATGACGGTTGACTTCAAGCCAGCCCACATGACAATGGCATTAGGAATCGTCATGACAAATATGCCAGCGAACAGGTTCCTCCAGCACGTCACGCCGGCATTCATATCGGCCACGTTCCGCAGGCACACGTTCATATTAGACGAGGTGAACTGCGTCGAGCGCCATATGATGGGACGGATGGCGGTGTCGACAACCGTCACACCTGCCGCCAAGAAACCCAGTAAGAAAGACAGAAGAGGGAAGGAGAGATGTGCGCCGACGCCATCCAACTTGAAGACGCTGGCGGGATCCTCATCAGCCACCTCGGACATGACGGCGTGTGTCTTGAGCCCAAACGCAAGAATGCCAGTAGCCGCGAGGACCGTTCCTCCGGCCAAGGTGCAAAAGGTGCGGTAGGGGGAGTATCCAACATGTCGTTTTTGATAAACAGCAAGGCCGGTAGCGGTGAGTATCGAGAAAATAAAGGGCGCTGCCATGAGCGACCCGATGCTGTTCTCTCGGAGCATCCATGGCATGGGGAAGAAGAGAAGCGACAGGGATTCCGTCAAGCTCCACAGCGCACAGTACGGAATGAAGGTGATGACGAAGAGCAGCAGGGTCGTGGGCGCGACGAAAGCGCGCGGGGCCTGGAGAAGCATCCGGACATCCGTCATACCGGAGAAAGATACAGGCTTCATGGTACGCAGGTAAGCCTTGACTTCCTCGACGGAAGGCTTTCCGAGCGGCTTTGGAGGCTTCGACATCCACGACACCCCGGAGGCAGGGGTTTGGGCGACGCTGCTACTAGACCATCGATCGTAAGCCGTTTCGGGAGCCCCGAATAGGATCAGCGGTATGGCAATGATCTGAAAGGCATTGATGATGTCGAATTGAATGGTGAAGCGGCCCGCGTTGAACGAAGCTAGACCTCCGAACAGAGGAGCACCCCAGGTCGTTGAAATTGAAAGAACGTAATACATCGTGATGCGAGCGCTACGTTCATGTTCCTAGATGGACGTTAGTGAATGGTTATGCCAACAGCATTGTGCCAAGGCAACTCATTCAGCCGACTCACAAAGTACGTGTCCTGTATTGAACCGAGAACAAGTGTATCAAAGGCACCCCAGCCGAGGCCCTGGAAGACGCGCGCTCCCATGCACTGCCCAAAGCTGTTGCCCGCACGCATGTTCCAGATCGCGCCGATGAAGATCAACACCACCGAGATCAAATAGACCGGCCTTTTACCCCATATTTTAGACACTGCCAGACTGATGAGACCTGTGAAGGCAGATAGGACGAGTGGTACGGCAGTCAAGGATACCACTGCTGTATAAGAGACATTAAATCTGACGGCGAGAACACTATTGACGCTCATGTATGCCGTCTTCATCCCTCCGATCAGGCCCATAGTCATTAGTAGAGCGACGAAATTGAGTTCTTTTTTCCATTGCGGCCAGTTCTGTGACAAGGCTGGTCAGTCTCCGCCCACTGTGAGATGCTGGACGGCACCTACCAACGGATCCTCTGGGTCATCGTTTGGCTGAGGACTCAGTTCTGTTTGCGAGTGTCTTCCGGTCCCGTACTTGATCTTCCGCTGACTCATTGTCGTCGAGAAGGACAGGCGCTTCGTCGAACTTGTCATCGGTCGTGCGGACTCGTCTTTTGGGGGCGGTGGTGGCGGTCTCGCGAACGACATCCTCCTCGGGGCCTTCTCCGGTGCAGCATGGCTCTCTTCTGGCCGCGCTGGATCAAATTCACCCTTTTCCATATCCCTCTCCATCATTCCCGATCGCTGAATTTCTCGTCGGGGTTCGTTGTCGCACAAATGGAGCCCAGCTCCGGTAAAACTAAAAACTGAACCAGCAGTGAGGATAGAAGAGAAGTGAAGGCGGGGAAAAGCGAAGGTTACGGCCAGTCAATGAAGTACATGTATGGATGAAGAAACGAAAAAAAAATAGAGGGAGGGTCTAAAAGAAAATATGGTTAATTAGATTAGATATCAGACGATCGGGTCATCTACGCAACTAAGCCGATACAAAGTCTCATTCATGATAAAAGATGGAAAACTACAGTCAATGTCTGGCCGTCGTGGAGGAAAAGAACTGTCAACAGGGACTCGAGTTTCTGACCGGCTGCAAGCGACATGATGCAACATCACGGGCCCTGGGCATGACAGGCCCCCGACATGTGTATTTTTATGGATACCAGATGTCGTGAAAACGGCGATGGCCAGGAGTTCGGCCTGGTCTTCCGCGCCATCATTGGACGAGACATGGTTGCAAGGATGCCGAGCCCTGTCAAAACGGCCCCCGTCCGATGCGTGCTTGGACCACCGCCGGCCTGGGCAGACGACGCGCTGAAACCTTCCTGATGCTAGTTCTGTCTCTTGCACCTTTTCTTTGGGCCTGGCTCTATTGTTTCGCCGGCCAGGTATCATATTGCGTGGAAATAATGTCGACTATGAGAGTAAAAGCACAGGGAGGACGGCTCGGTCTCTGGTGCTCGATGTCGGCCGACACCTTCGTGGCGCATGGGGTGGCCAATGTCAAGTCAAGATTAATTGAAATCAAAGTTGGTCGATCGCGAGTTGCGGGAGCTGACATACACATGACACCAGATGACGACCAGCATAGTTCGGCTCTTTTCCCCGTCCCCATTCCGTTTTGACTTTTTGACAGATGGTCAACGGTTGACGCGCGTCCAATCGATTGCAACTTCGGGGCGAAAGCTGCGCTCGTGTAGCCCGGCGCAGCTTCAATTGAAGCATCCATTTCGCTTGAGCTGATGATAATATGTCATTGCGAATAACCCGCTTGCCATGGCCACGACCAGTTCCAGGCGGTCTTTCGCACTCAGGGCCTGTCATCTAGTGTGGCCAATATCTCGAGACCACGGTGTGGCATCAGCATAATTGAGGCTCTTCCTTTTGGAACAGAACGCACTAACCGAGCCATTGTCCAAGTCAAATTTCTTGTTTCTTTGGGGCCGGGCTCGGTAAATTGGCCCGCTGGCCATGGGTCGGAGGAGCACCCCTTCGTTGCAGGCCGTTTCGCAAACCACCAAAGAACAAGGATCCTTGTCAGACTGCGCAGAGTCATACCCGCGGCTCTTGCTGCTGGCGTCAGCGTTGAATTGGCCTCGGAGAGAGCGCGTCTTTCCGGCTCCGTACAACCGCGAATGTATTTTGCGACCAAAGAAGCCGGCTTCGTCAGGTGCCGCCAATGATTCCGTGCAGAGCTGTACGAGTGCAATGGAGTTGCCGGCGTTGAATGCTGTAAGCTGAACTCAGACTCGCAGACCCTCTACCACCGCTGAATCAATATCGCACCACGTACTCCGCGCTGCAGGCGTCGATCTTCTGATCAATGACTTTGGCATCATGTCGGCGGAATCAACCTGGCGAGAACGTACTTGCGGCTAGCGGGATCGACCGCCTCAACGGCCGGCAAGCGGATGACTAACTCATGTTCCTCGTTGTTTGTCTGCCCTATTGCCCCTCTTCCACAGCGCTCGGCTGGAGCATTGCCCCCGCAGCGACGATCATACATGGAGCGGTCGGATGTGTATGGAGTGTCATCCAAGGGGAAATCCACCAGATTCTGGTGTGCGCCTGTTCAATTCAACATCCCGAGTGGCCTTGGCAATTATCTCGTCAAGGTCGTGGAACTCTATGTCATTATGTATATCCTCAAAAACCACGCATCCCTATGTCTATCCGCATCCCCGCTGTTGGCCTTTGCGGTGCAACGCCGTCTAGACCGAATTCGCCGAAACGCCATTGCCAAATGCCATAGTGTATCTGTCCCCGCGACGGAATGATTCTAGTCAATGTTGGTAGCCCTTCCTCCCCCATTATGCCAGGCGCATGACGATGTGTCCAAGATGCTGAAACGTCGATTCTTTTGTATCCAATGCATGCAACTCATGCAATGCGTGGCTGGCCTTGCGACCTCGACGAGAGACAAGCGACGTGTTTCGCTCTCCGGCGGCCCCGAAATATCTGTTCAGTTCGTTTTTTGGTCTGTTCCTTGTGCATGGACAGAATGTGACAGCCAGTCACTGATGTAAAGTTTGCCGGGGTCCTGACATGACGACTTTCTTCACATGACAGCAACCGCTTGAGGCTGGAATGGTCGCATAGCGGGTGCCATCAAGACGGTTTTTACTGCATGGGCACTCTTCGCGTCGAGCTGCATGACAAAACCTATGAAGAGGACGGCAAAGTCAGCAAAGTGGTCTAGAAGAGTCGGAAGAGATGTGATAGTGGTATGGGTATTCTGACGCTGGATGTTCGTCTTCACCAAGGTGGCCGCTACTGAGTAGCCAAGTTCTGGGAGGCGTTCCATCCTAGGAAGAATAGGCGGCGACAACGTTGACCGAGCCAATACCGATCTGCGAGGACTTGGCCCACTTGCTTGCACTTCTCGAAACTTTTCGATGTTGATGTTGCGAGTTGAGCTCGTCGACACTGCGCGCCCTGGGGTAGTCGTGGGTGTTGTGTTTAACCGGCCCGGTCTTGGCCGGACGGAAGAAATTTTCATGAAGCTATGATGGCTGATTTACCTGAGTCGACAACTTCTTGGACTGCTGATTTCTCCATCGCCAGCAGTACTTGGCTTGTGCGAACCAGTAACTCTAGTGTCATAGTTAGTCGCTTGCCGCTTGCCTGCCACATGGGTCTGGACATGGTGATCTTACCTTGGTAGTGCAGAGAGTAGGCGACAGGAGCATCCTCGTCCAATCCGCGGTAGACAGGTAGACGCTCCTTGGTGATATCGGTAACGCTGAATCGCAATCCGACATTCTTCGTAGCGTCGGCCCACAAGATGGTGCTCTCGTCGATTGGTCCTTGCCCTGCTGGGCAAATGGCTGTCCTAGCGGCCGCCTTTGCTAGCCAGTGTCTCCAGACGCGTACCACGCCATTCTCAATATTGCTGTGGCTAGCGAGAAGACCAGGGTTCGGACCTGACTTGACCAAGCTAGTTGTTGTGCAAAGTTGAGAGAAGAGCTCTCCGTCATCCAGGATGAGTTCTTGGACAACTGGCTGGTCGCCGATTTCTTGCTCGAGTGGGGCGCCCGGCATCCGTCGACCAAACACTCTCCGCATGCGTCGCGTCTCTTCGGAGACGACCGGGCGGAAGTGGGAGTAAAGGTGGGAGAGATCACGCAAGTCCATATCTTCCTCGCCGGTCCACTGGTATCCCAGGAAGTCAACGCCTGCAAATCTACACGTCATTGACGGTGTTGAGTTCCTGGCACTTGGGTGGTAGCTCTCCAGCATCACCTCGTGTCCTTCCATCTTCGCGGTATGAAGGAGGCGGTGTTGCAGTATTGTGGTGGCGGTACCATTGAAGCGGCGGTCGACAGTCGTTAATGGCAGCAGCTCGCGAGATTCAAAGGTGGATAGGATCGCAATGAGAAGCTATTCAGGGCAAAGGTAGTTAGCGGGAGTGTAGCATAAGAGCGTTGGCGCTCTGCTGTGATGGGCAACGGCAGGTGCTTACCTCATTGGGTAATGAGTCGATTGGTGACGTTAGAGTTAGACCAGACATGTTGGTCGTCGTAGTTTGATGGCAAAGATGTAAGATGTTTGTAGTAGTGTAGTTGCTATGTGAAGCTTAGGCTCGTGCCGTTTAGGAAGGACCGGAATAATGCCCCGAGGACATGTCGAGGCAGGTCATATTTAAGTAACTGTTGATGAGTCCGAAGCAATGTCGAAAAGGGGGGTGTATGCTCAGATTGCGAGGGGTGGCTAGAGAGAGTGGCCGGATTCGAGGTGAAGGAATCTTGAAGAGACAGGCCGATAAGGTGGAGATGCCGAAAGCAGGGCAAAAAGTGTATCCTCAAGGATCAGTAACCAATTGACGAGGACTCTGCCAGGAACGAAGATCCTGTCCGTGGATAGGGGACGCAATGACGAGGGTGTGTCTACAGATTAGGGTCTTTGTGGCGCGATTGATACTGATGTGATGGTCGTGCTTTTGGTGCAAATCATCGGCGCGAAGTGGCTGATGATGCAAGGTTGATGGTCGCGGGAGCGTCGAAAACAAAGTGGATGCGGTGACATGTCAGCCAAAAAGTTGGATGATTCGAGACAGGGAACTGGGCCTGTCAACCTTCAAGGCCCACGATTGAGTGGAGAATGCCGGGCCGTTACGGGCCTGACTATTTCCGGTGTAATGTCCGTCCGGCCAGTTACCGCCTGCCCGGTGTCGGTCAGTGTCGGTGAGCCTCTGAAGTGGCTCTTTCCGTTGGACAATAGCGACCAGGGCAGCCTTCCGAGTGGCTCCTGCCGTGATGGTAAGTGTGGCTGGATGACTAAGGAGTACTCCATGCGTCACGCCCGATTTGAACAAGCGTGTTTACGAAGCGAGAGATCCTGCTGCACCGCTTTTTCCCTCGCTTCTGCAGGCACTTTCCTCGCCAACATCCACCCGGCAGAGACAGTGGAGGTCAGCAGTACCTGTTCTCAATCAGAATAAACCAGTTGTCGACACTGTTATATTTGAGGTCTAAGATTGTTCAATAATCGACTCATTCTTCCCAGATACGAAAGTTGCAATCGCTTGCGCCTCCAAGCTCAAAGAGACGAAAACGAAAACAAGAAGCCTTGGCCAGCTCGATGCCCGGCATTGACCGTCATCTACCGGTTTTGTCCGACTCCCAGGATAACATCATGATCACCCCATCCGAACTGTCTTACGAGCCTCTCGAGTCAGAACCCACTTTCGCACTACTCAATAAACAGGCGGTGGGAGCCTCAATCTCGGGATTCGTCCTAGCTTCGCAGTTCAGGTCCAGACCTTCCAGCCCTGCACGCCCTGTAAGAACCTGGCATGCGTCACGAATGCTTTACTTTCTCTCCGAGTTATGAGCGAACAAGGTCCCAACTTCCTTCTCGAAGAACGTCTGGGCCATGCACACGCCCACCAAGGCCCCACGCGCCCCTGCTTCCCGTCGCGCCTGTTTCTGTCGTTTCCTTGTCCGGCCCGCCGAGATAACAACGCGCATGGCGTGACATGCCGTTACCTACTGCGCCGTCGTGGGGCCTATCAATCCTGATTCAGCCGAAGCTCAGGAACGGAATACACTGCTAGGGGTTTTGAGGCTGCGATACATATGCAGAATGGTTCCCAAAACACATGCGCTTGTTTCTTGTTATCATTGTCCCACCACGTATGATACATTGACAACTCGCGCGAGAAGGAGATGATGTAGAAGAGGGGCAAGGGAACTTTCTTCTTCTTACAGGTCACTCAGTCTTCTTCGTCACATTATCGACGCCATGACCCTGCCGTCGGATCGTAGCGCTCTATCAACTCAGCATCTTCTTCGATTGGAGTGCATCGTCACATTACACGATTCCACGCTTTTCAACCACCTGCATCCTTGCGCGGGAGTGAGAGCAGGACTCGGCGCGACTGTAGGGCTCTGGATAACAACCTGGACGTCGGGGGCATGTCGGGCTATGCGCGTCGGAGAAGTAGATACTAGACGCCAGCCGAAAATATGCTGCTTCCGCCCGCGACCCATCTTTCTACGGCCCCCCACATGTCGATAGATTGTCTTGGATTAATCACAAAACTCTTGAGTAGATGGACAAATAACCGGTGCAGCTCTCGCAGGGCTAAGGGTGCGAGGAATCGAGCCACACCAGGCTTCAACTTTGTGCGGAGGCTGGGACCTCGTTCCGAAGTAGATGGCCGCCTGGCGTGATCTAATCGTCGACCTCGTCGTGCGACAGTCGGTGTTGAGCAATTCCAGGTCTAGTTCCATCTTGGTGCTTCTGTCGTCGTCCACATAGATCTCGAGAAGTCAGCACAGCGGTATAGTTATCTTCGATGGCGTCCACGTTGCACCATCGGTGGCCCAGGTTGACGGTCCTTCCCTATCGACATCGCACCGTGAGCTGTGTTCCTGCATCTACATGGTGCTAGGTGACGGGCATGCGAGAAGGCAGTGTCGTTTGGAGAGATTTTCGCCGCGTCATGTCTGTTGGTTGCCGCCATTTCAACGGTGCGTCGCTTAACGGAGGTTTTGCTTGATTATACGGTCAATGTACAAGCTGGTCTCCCGGCACGCAACCATGACCTATCCAAAGCGATTGCGAAGCCGCGTTGCCCGCGGATGCCGTAATGATGGTGACGATTGCATGGGCAGTAAAGGCTTCCGATAGTTAGTGCCGGGAGTGAATATCCTAGGATTCTTGCCCTCAACGCTGGCATAGGAGCGTATGGCCAACATTGTGAGAGCAATTCCCTCAACCTCTCGATGGTCGTCAGCGATACGCATATCTCCTTGCGCACTTTGAGAAGCTCCTTGAACCTGAGCTACCCTAGGTCAGCTCTCCAACTCATTTCTTCTACCACTGAGCCCATACTTAGGTGTAGACAGCCCAGCATCGTTTTAGTGTCATCCTTATGCATCTTGACGCCGGATAGGAAGTAAGGGAAACATTCACAGCCTTCCGGCTTCGCTATCCTTCAACACCTGCCCACTCATATTTTCTTTTGCCATTCAGCTGTCGACGGGCTCGATTAGAGATTCGGATGCTGAGACACCATCTTGCCTTGGCGATCTTTGCACCCAAGGTAGTAGATACCTCAGCATGCACCCTGCTGTGATACACTACACCGGGAGGTACTTTTGGATAACACCACGCTGCCAGGCGAATTGATACATCACATCTCGCCCGTTAGGTGACAATCTTTCCGGTGTATGGTCACGTGCTTCTTGGTCCAGACCAATTCCAGGGAGAGAACGGGGTCTCGGGGTGCCTGCCTTCCGGCGGGACCCACACCCCGTGCGCGGGCACCCGTGATTGACCTGGCTCCACCCCGGCCGCCAAAACACCCACCGTCTTCCTCTCCTCAACTTCACCTTCCAGAAGAGAAAAGGCGGCTCTCGTTTGTAAACCTCATCTCACTGCAATCGACTGCCCCTCGTCGCGCCCAACCCGACGTCATCAATTCGCACAGTGTCATTTCGCACCATCAAGGTCAAGCGGCACCAACCCTATTCAGTGGCGCAAACGGGCACCCTCTTGAGTGCTGAGTCACCTCTTCAGCCTTTCTCCGAACACGCCGCGGAGACGGCTTCCTACCTAAGATTTCTCAGGTACCCATCCTTCATATACACGTTGTCATTCAAACTCTAATGTTTCGCAGCTCGCTTTTCATTTTTCCTTCGAGAGATTGCCTCATTAAATCAGAGTCTCATTATGGAATGATTCATCTTACGATATCGACCCAGCCCCCTCGGACCACGACATTCAGGCCCTGCGATTACCTACGTCCCCATTCATACCTAAGCATCGTTCGTCATCGCAGCTTTGCTTCTGCAAACGCTATCCTCTTCAAACATACACGCAGACATGGAGGTCCTGCGGAAACCGGCCTCCTCGGAAGAGACCTACCAGTTTCCCTGTGTAACGCGATGCCAATCCCGCACACCTGCAACGCATGATATCCCGCTCAAGCCCCCTCGAGACTCCAGCTCTGACGTCCGGCAATTAAACGAGAAAGAAGAGGCAGACATCAAGCACCCCACCACCTGGTCAGAGCTGCCAGAAAACATCGTACGCCAGATTGTCGTGGCTGTCTTGGAGAACTACGGTGATGAGGTAGCTTATGGGTATGATGCCGCAGAAGAGCAGTGGCAGCCTGTCGAATCAGCAAAATTTGAGCGGTTTGCCGTTTGGAGAGACATTGCCCACATGGCTCGGACCTGCAAACGATTTTCTGAGCTCATCACGCCCGCCCTGTTCGACTACGACATCGCAAGGAACTACGCATCTTCCCTGCTGCTGTCTGCCAAAAAGGGAAACTACTTTGGGATAGCCAAGTCTTTGAGATACGGTGCCGATGCAAACATGAAGGACCACACGGAGTTCACTATCGATCATACACCCTACGAAGAGACTTATCAGCAGACCTCTCGATGCCCGCTCAAGACGGACCTGACAGCTCTCCACTGGGCAGCATTCAACCGAGACGAAAAGTCACTAGCGTTGCTTCTACATCATGGCGCTGATGTTAGCCTAAGGACAGATGTTTGGGCATACCATCCTGGCACCACGATTGGTGACAAGTTCGCTTGTCAGGCATTCAATCTCGCCTATCTTAGCTTTGCACCAACACTGAAGGCGATACCCAGCTCTGAATACTCCCTGGGTGTGCTATCAGAACGTCTCAGATTAGGCGCGAACGCGCTATACTTTGCCTTTGCCTTCGCAGCCGATGATCAAGAAGGATCCTACACACGCACGGTGGCATCTGTGCCCGTTCGGGAGGTGATGGATCTGCTCATCGCAGCCGGTGCATCTCTCACAACACACGAAAGCACTCAGCTCAATGCGCTGCATCAAGCATGCGCCAACTGGGACGCTGCGGCTGTTTCGCTTCTTCTGACTACGTACAAGGTGGACCCAAATGTTCGAGACGCCTTTGGGAACACACCTCTTCACCACTTTGCGGCAAGCCGTCTTAAAGATCGCTGTGACCCTGAACTCGTCATCGAGGTTCTCATCGATCACGGTGCGGATCTTAGGGCG